TATATAAGTTAGACGTTGATACTTCCATCTTACCTAGAAAAGCTAAGGAAGTGTATGGCCAGTTGAGTAGTTTTTTTAATGAAAATTAGCAGCCATGTTTTCCTGTCCCGTGTGTAGTCAGCTTACAATTAAGGCGTCTGCACTTATAAAACATGTAAAATATATACATAATTATGGACATGTCAATTTTTCAGAAGTTACATGTCCTAGTCAGGATTGTGGGACTAAACTAGGTACCTGGAGTGGATTTTTGCGTCACATAAAGTCTCACAATTGTTGTCCGGTTAATTTAATTGATACTTTAGAGTGTAGAAATTTTGAACCCTTGCTAAGTGACCCCAGCGCCGAGGTCGAATTTGTAGAAATAAACCACTCTGAAGAATTTACAGTAGATTTAGGAATCAAAATAATTAATAATATTTTCGGAAATTTCTCTGCCGCTCTTTTAGCAAGTGGTCTCAACAATTCAACTCTTGATTTAATTATGAGGGAAGTAGAATATGGCTTCTCCGAGGTATTTTGCTTAATTATTAAATTAGCTAAGCCACTGCTTAATGATAATACGGAAATATTTAGTATGCAAATTAAAGGATTGTTTCAAGGCTTCAAGAAAATGCGATCGAGTTACATGAGGCAGCAATATTTTGAGGCAAACGACAAACTAATTTTACCTGTGGAGAAAAGTTTAGGTAGCAGAACTGAACTTCGAGTTAAAAATTTTAAAAGAGAGCAAGTTATTGTTTCTGATACCTTCATGTACGTTCCAATACTTAAATCCTTAGAAAAAATTGTTGCATCAAAGGAATTTGCAAAGTATTTTTTCACAGATATAAATCCTTCCTCCTCGCCACTTTATGTCTATCAACATTATAAAGATTCAAATAGTTTCAAACAAAACAAGCTTTTTTTGAAGTATCCCAATGCCATTCAAATCCAATTATTCTATGACGACTTCGAAACGGTCAATCCTCTAGGATCAAAGCGAGGTGTGCACAAAATTGGTGGCCTGTATTTTACATTACGAAATTTTCCGGATTACTTAAATTCTCAATTAGCTCAAATTAATTTATTAGCTTTATTTTACACTGAGGATGCAAAAAAATATGGAATTAGTTCTATTTTAAAGCAAATTATTCCCGATATTCAAATTTTAGAAAATCAAGGTATTCAAGTTAAGGGCACTCAGATCTTTGGAACCGTATGTACCCTGGTACATGATAATTTAGGGGGAAATTCAATTCTTGGTTTCCAGGAATCTTTTAATTCGACCTACTATTGCAGGATTTGTTGTACTTCGAAGTCAGAGGCGCAGGATGTTTTTGATCATAGCAAAATGTTAATTAGAGATAGGGTAAATTATTCGGATCACCTAAATTCTAAAGTATTTGGCGTTCAAACAAGTTGCGAGTTGAATAGATTGAAATGTTTTAATTTTTTAGACTCGCCGACTGTTGACATTATGCATGATTAATTGGAAGGTGTAGTTCCATGCGAAATCAAGCTCGTTGTACTTAAATTAATTGAGCTAGGAAGTTTTAGTTTAGAGACGCTTAATTTAAGGATTTTGGCCCATAATTTTGGGCATTTGGAGTCGAAAAACCGACCTGGTCCAATTAGATTAGATGGATCAGGAAATAAAATTGGACTCAAGGCGGCACAGGCTTGGTGCCTGGTTAGATTTTTACCCGTAATTTTAGGTGATTTAATAATCACAACTGAACAGCTAAAATATTGGGGTTTAATTTTAAAATTACTTGAATGCATGAATCTTATATTTTGCAGAAAGTTTTCCGAGTCAACAATAGAGTGCCTAAATACTAATATCGTAGAACATCACCAATTATTCAGGAAATTATTTCCAGATAGGAAACTCATCCCGAAACATCACTTTATGTGCCATTATGCGCATGTAATTCGCCAAACTGGGCCATTGATTTCTCTTTGGACAATGCGTTTCGAAGGGAAACATAATTATTTCTCTCAGTTAGCAGATCATTTAAAAAATTACAGAAATATTTGCTACTCACTGGCCATGCGACATCAGCAGTACAGTTCTCATGTATATAATAATATTGACATTAATGATATAATTAAGACTGACAAAATTTTTTCACTCAAACTGTCCCAATTTGCTGAATCATATGATATCATTGAATGTTTAAGAAATTATCCTGAATTTTTGAATTGTAACTTGGACACTAAAGTATTCACAACAAACCAGATTTGGTATAGGAATTACAATTATCGGAGTAATTATGTTGTTTGTTATGATGTTGGTTCTGTATTTCCGAATTTTGGATTAATTACAGAATTTATTGTTCTGTCAGATACAATTTGTTTATTTCTTATTAGGGAGCTAGAGGTAGAATATTTTGAAAACAAGTTATTTGCCTATAAAGTTAAGTTAGATCTGGAGCGTTTTAAGCTAGTTGATGTAAAAAATTTGATTGTGCACGAATGCTTAGAAATTCAGCAGAATATTATATTAGATGGATGTTATTTAGTTACACGGCATCACTTGTAAATATTTACTTAGTTGTACATATAAAAAATATGTAATAATCTGTTAAATAATTAACACAATAAATTGTGATAAAAAATGTGATTTTTGTGTAAGCAATAGCGAAATTATTGTTACTCATCCATCACCAGTCAGTGGCAAGGTGAACTAAATAAGTGATAGTACATCACCGCACGGTGATCGAAAATTTTCATACTTCTACCACCATCCGGTAGAGGCACATCACCACGATGGTGGTGGTACTTTCCACCACCGCGCGGTGGTGGGTAACCACCATTGCGGTAGAGTCACATATAGTCACCGCTTGGTGACAGTCCGGTGGTAAAATTTCTTAGAGTGTAGGTTATTTCTTGATCTCACCATAAAAAGTATTGCAGTATTATTGTTAGGAGAATGGACATATGTATGAATTGGGTAGCATATGAGCTTTGAGGGTATTTGTCAACATGAACTGGAGGCATAAACTGAGGAGAATGAAATGTGCTGGGTATGATAAGTGAGGGAATGATGCGTGGGGGAATGAGGTGTGCCTGGTATGACATGTGAAGATATTAATTGTTGGGGAATGCGACGTGGGAAATGTAATGTGGGGGAACGATGTGTGGGGTATGCAGTGCCCGGACACCGTGTAAATGCAAATTTCATTTTTTTTCTATACGATACAAACTTTCTTTCCAAATGGAATATCCATAAAGCAAGTGAGTTGCGAATTGAACCTGGCATTGAAATTGGCACTCTTGCAAATATTCTATAAATATGTATGCAATCGGTAACAAAAAATTATTACCGAATTCTAATTTAAATCAATGATGTAAATGGGGCATTGATGCTATAGTTTTAATTTCGAAACCACATACTGTTATCGTTTGGTAAAAAACCATCACTCCCAAAAAGGTGTAAATTTTTTTTGTATATGTATGATATTACATGTTTACATTGTGCACTCACACATAAAGCTTTTGCTAAAAGGAAATACATACTTCAAAATTAGGTAGACTTATCGTTTTAATTGGTTAAACAAGTAGCTCTTTTAGTTGCATTTAGTGTTACGTATCGCTGTGAAAATGAAATAGGTAGTTGGGCCCACGGTGAAGTGAAAGTTACTAAATATTAAACGATATTGTAACATTTTGTAATGCTTCTTGTTTTAATATTTTAAGCGCGTCCTTCACCTAAGTTTTTTTTTTTAATGTATTTATTTTTGAAGGGGTCCACGGCGTACGATTTTTTTGAAACTTTCCGGAAATTAGCGCCAAGTATCCCTTAACATATTTCAGGAATCAGAACACGCCCGAAATAAGATTTGAACTTGTCAAAATTCATCAAAGTTGAGAAAATTGGGGCGGAGAGGATAAAAATATAAATTTGCCCATTTTTGAAGGGGTCAGCGGCGTACGATTTTCTTGAAACTTTCAGGAAATACTCTATAGGTATCGCTGAAGATACTTCAGTAATCAGAACTCACCTGATTCTACATTTGAAATTGTCACATTTCATTAAAGCTGAGGGTGAGGGGCTAAAAAAGACATTTTTGTATTTTTCAAAAGTTCCCGCCGTACGATTAGCTTGAAATTTTCTGGGAATTATTTAGGAGTGTTACGGAACACATTTCAGTCATCAAATCAAGCTCAGCGGCAGCGGGAAAGCTTAAAAATTAAAAATTTTAAATTCTGGGCTGGGCTGGGCTAACTTCCTATACATTTTAAACTGTGGATAATTTTTATTTCCTACAAAACTTTTAGGTACCGGGACTAATATGTGAGGCTAGTAAAGACAACATTTTTTAATAAAACCGATAAACTCAGCAAAAACTGCAGTAAAATTGAAGCGAAATTTTGAAATCACAAATAATGTTGGATGAAAAGGTGTTACATTTACGTTAAGTACAAGTTAATTAACTTGATAATTCTTAGGTAATTACCTATGACCAGGTATATGACTCATGCATAGATTGGTATTATTTGTGAAGACAAGTTGTCATCACTTTTAATTTCAGCTTATCTTTTCCTGAAGGCTGTCAAAACTGAGGGTGCAATACATACATATGCATATATACATATATGAAGTTTGCAACAAAATTCAATTCAATTTCGTTGCTTGAATTGTATTCCGACTATTACGATAATTCTATGCCATTATTGGTAGACAAATAACATTGCACTCTAAACAAAGCCGTGTAAAATTAATTCAGGGTTGAGTAAAATGGAGGATGACACAAAACAATTGAGTAAAATTTATCCCACGGTTTGGGTAAATTGTACACAACTTTATTTAGAGTCATCCAAATCAAATCAACTGAACAATCAGAGTGATTGACAATTTTACTCGCGTTTTCCTTCTACACTTATCTGTATGCAGACATAGATGCACAAATAAGTTCCCCGATAAGCCTCTGTCTCTTTTGAAAGCAATCCCATAAAATTCAATCGCATTCATTCCTCTCAAGTCTCAACCTTTCGTGCCACATAATACTTACACCATGCTTGCAATAAAAAACGTCCCCAAATTTCTCCTCGTCTCCATCGCACTTTCCCAATTGCACCCAGTGTCCGGCGCCCTTGTTGCGAAACTGTACAACGCCACTGTCCCCGTCGTGACCTTATTTGCCGGCGTTTCTTACGATGGGGACGACTCCATCTACCACTTCGGCGGGTGGAACATCTTCCCAACAGAAACGGACCCACAACCAATGATGGACGCCATCTGGCGATACAGCATATCCGCAGATGCCTTCGAACTTGTGGCTCGCCTTCCCTTCGGGATGGTGCTCACTTCAATAGTAAATTCCGTGGAAGGGACGTACTACATTTTTGGTGGGCTGTTAGACGAGACGAACTGGCAACAATATTCGGTTTTCAAGTTATCCGTGGAGAGTGGAACGGTCACGGAGGTGGCACAACTCCCTAACATCGGACACTACTACGGCGCATTCAAGAGGGACGAAGAGACGGTCTTTCTCATCCGAAATAGTCCTTCAGCCGTGTGTAAATTCAATATTTCTTCGCACGAAACAGTGTGGTACACTCCGACAGGGGAAATAGAGTAGGACTCGATGACTCATCGCCAAAATCGGGAAAATAAACACATTTTAATAATTGCTTTGCTTTAAGAATTTATTTTAAAACTCTGGTCGACTATTTTGTAGTCAGTATATAGATTAATGGAATGGTGGGGAGTTTTTTAAGCCAGCTTCGATGAGTTCGAATTTTTCTAAAGCTTATTAAACTTGAGATCTCCTCCTTCAAAAACTGTTAAAATCTAGAGTCAAAAATAACTAGCTCAACAAATTTGACGTGCAGAATTTTAGAATAAATTCCCAGAGTCGAGAAATGATAAAAAGAAGTTATCATTTTCCCGGTTTTGGCGATGAGTTATCAAGTTCTACGATAAGGTTTCTGGAGGCGTGCACTTTATGGGACGACGTGGATAAGGTAGCCTACATCGCCCTCTCCGACAGGGCCGAAAATCAAACGGTTCTCCGCTACGACGCCATCCGCGAGGAGGGAACCTTGATCAACTTCGGGGAAAAGAATTTCACCGGGTATGCAACCTCTCCGACGGATTCTTTACGTAGATACGGATATGCGATGGGAAGCTACAATTCGGTCTCGTCCCTGCTCGATTCGACTTTCGGACGCAAAACGTTGAGTACTTTCCGTTTGAAATTTCCCCTCCGGGAGTTTCCACGTATGGGATGGGATGGTCAGTCTTCGTCCCCAAGTTGAACGGGATCTACCTTTTTGGGGGATACTTACAGAGTTCTTTTCGGAAGGAGGTGTGGTTCGTGGATTTGGTTGAGAGTGAAGGCAGCTTTCGAAACGGGACGAGTATTCCGCGAGAAAATTTTAAGAAATGTACCTTAAATTATTTCACATAAGATCCAATACAATATCAAACTATTCAAAACAAAACGAAACTTTACTCCGTCAGATTTATTATTCGAAATATTTATGTACACCTACTCAATCTGCATATTTTAATTAAGTATGATGCGATGCAGCATCTAGATAGTTTTAAAAAACTGCGTATATTGCAAATTTTCTCTTTTCTTCACACAGAGCAAAGTTGAACTTCGGCTATTTATTCGGTCTCGCCTAGCATTATAAAATTTCTTAGTTATTTCAAGAAATTCAAAAAAAAATTGCGAAGCGAAGAATCGGTGATCGATTTTTGTTTTACCAAAGATCAGACATTACCTACCTGGGAATATAGAGTTTAATTGTGCATCTCTGTAGAGAGCAAGGGGAGGAATATTTGAGACCATGTAGAAAATTTACAGACAAAATTGTCAACGAAATTTGTATTTATAACATTTTTTTTGCAAGTTTTGGATAATTTCTTAGTCGTAATTTGTATTTAATTTTTAATATAAAAAGTAATAGATTCCTCTGGTACCATAGGTACGTAGAATTTGAAGTGAAGAAGCCTCGTAAATTAATCATATTATTTATTTTAAGTCAGGTCACGTGGCCAAATTGATTAATTTATTAGTGTTTGGTTAATGGTAAATTTAAAATTGAATTAAATTCGAATACAGCTCTTGATCATGAATATCATAATTGATATTTATTATTGCAACTCACTCCAGTGTTTGTAACGGAGAAAACTACACAAATTTGACAAAATAATTTGTTGCCATACTTATAAAAATAGGGAGACAATATTAATCTACATAAACACATGAAGTCTAAACAGATCTTCCTTCGTAATTTCTGCAGGTTTATGTTACTTACCTAGTTACAAAATGAATTTCGTGAGAACGGAGAAATTCGGTTCTAGAACGGAGAAAGCGTGCAAATTTTATAGAATCGGTTAGCACAATGTGAAGAATTTGTGTATGGCCAATGGCCGTTATAAATTATTCTTGTAAAATTTATTTAAACTGAAAAACTTTAACGCCGGCAACTCGTAAATACTAAATCTGTACTATCTCTGATCAAGTTAGATGGACCGTGACCTCTTGATTAATCCGAAAATGGCAAGCTAATTTAAAAAGTTAGTATTTTGCGATTTTTTTTACAGATTGTTGCAGCCAAAAACTCAATTGCACAAGAAACACTTGCATTCCGATACTTTTGTATGCATAGTTTCGTCTGACTAATCTAGAAACCCATAAATTTATACAAATTGTATATTTGACATATGCACAACCATACAACATTTCGCGAATATATGTACATACATTCGTGGTATATAATTTGACCGGTATCTCTTCTTCCCTTGGGGAACGAGAGCCCTTTATTTTACCACAAAGGTAAAAACTGCTTAACATTTTAAGTCCCACATCAAACATCCTACTTTCTCCACGAGCAGCAAATTTGGGCAAATTTTAGGGGTAAGAAATAAAAGCCACATCACACGGACAACTTTCCTCAGGGAATTCATCCTTCGCGGTTTGCTCGTTTTGTTCAGACTGGAAATAATTATTCCGCCAAAATAACGACGACCAGACCACGAAACTCGACGACAACACTTTCTCCTCGACTTTTTTTAAATTATTAATGGTTTAACAGAGCAGCATTTTTGGGGAGAAAATAACAGAAATTTATTTTAAACGCCTCTATTGAGCATCGAATTGCCCGACTCGGTAGGTTTTAAAATTTTGAAAAATTTGAAGAAAGTCAAAATTTTGTTGGCATAATTGAATTCATGTTTTTTGTTGTGATATACAAATGTCAAAGTTCACAGGTTACACTTGGGATTAAATATCAGCCTTGACTTCTTGACCTCGTCTGACTGTTTGATACCAAGTTGCTCATCATCAAAGTTTGATTCACGTCTACTCTAAAAATTTTGTTTCTTAATTAAATTGGCCATCAAAAATTTAGGATCATTCAAAAAGCAGACACACCAACACAGACTGGCACGAATCGCCCTATAAGGAAATTTTCCCCTTAAGAAGAAAGAGTATGGAGTTTTTTAACCAGAAATGCGTGAAGGTAACGGGGCGTGACGCGTGAAAAATTGGATTCACACACTCACACTTGGAAATTTCATTTCGTACAAAAAAATTCGACACGTGCCGTCTTCACAGGTTTTAAATGAGGGTAAAAACTTGATCTCAATATCTCTTAAAGAGGAAGTCTGTTGTTTCGTTTTCTGGGTGAAAAAGTAGAGAAGAAAAACACGCAATTACTTGCCCACGTCTTGCCAACAAGGACATTATTTAGAACATTTTGAGCTCTTTAAACGTTTAAGGGTTACATAAATTTCAAAACTTTTTGGTTCCTTATTCTTCTGGGTTTGTTTTTGTGGTGAGGAGAGAAATAAACGGACGTAACATTTGGAGAAAGTTTAGGAGAAAGTATTTATTTAACGGTGAACTGTTTCTATGCCTTGTTTTTTTGTGGTGGGGAAAATTAAGGATTAAAGTGGAGAAAGTTAGTTAGTCTTTCTCCTCTATTTTGTCATGGTAGAAAGGATGCCATTAAACTTACAGATATCGAGTTATCACTGTTTTTTAACTGCGATTTAATTAAAACACAGCTGCACCGAAACATAATTGTACATAACAATTTGTTACAGAATTTTCTTAAAGGTTATTTCGTTGTCAGTAATGAGTAATTAATACATGCGCTACAAACTTTCCAGAATTTCCGTGAGTGATTTAATTATCACCAAAAATCCAGGATCTATGGTTATAACAGTTCAAAAATGTTCGAAACAATATCTGTTCCAAATTATAAATCTTCAACTTTAACATCTGACAAATGATTTATAATCTAATTTTTCTGGTTAACTTTCCCTGATTTCCGGGAATTTACATGGTTACAAACATCCGAGTGAGTTGCATGTGTACATTTCAAATGATGAAATTTGAAATTTGAAATTTTCATTTTTTTCAAATGATCAACTCATTTGAAATTTTACAAAAAGAGCTGTGTATTCATTCACAATTTATGCACAAAAGATTTAGTTTTTTCCGGTCCGGTTTGACGTCAGTTAAATTTTTTTGCGATTGGAGGTTGGATTTAAATTAATTAAAGATGAAAAAGTCATGGGTGTAAAGTTGGGAAATTTGTAAAATGAGAACGGAATTCAATAGAATGGCGCAACCTATCTAGTCAAGTATTTTGTTGCCTTCCTTGCTCAATTTATTCTCATTTACTAGAATAAAATAATGAAGGGTTTCTATTATCTTGAAAGCAATGAAAAAGATGAGGAGTCAAGTACACAAATAACATTCCGATCGAAGTTTTTCTACAAACTAAAAAACAACTTATAAATATTTCTTCCTTTTCACTTACTCACTGTCACCCTAACTCTTCTAATCAGATAACGGATGGAAATATACCCAAATTTTCAGAGTGAAGGTGAAAGTGAAAGTAAAATTCGTCCTAAAGAATAATAAACCAGGTCGCTGGGCGCTTCGGGCAGATAGAAAACTTGACGAAATAGACAATGCACACCCTTCTCTCACTCATTCTGCTTTGTGCCATTGTTTATCAAAAAGGGTTAGAATTTCGCCGTAATAATGGAAATGAATGAAATCGTGGAAAGAATGCAGCTTCAATTTTAAAAGGCAACTCAATCTATTGGAGGAACGGATGAAATACAATTGACCACTTTTGTAAAGAGTTTCTTTTAATGAATAAATATTTGAAGATTTGTTTCATGGTAAACTTTTCGTAAAAAGCTTGTACTCGAATTATGAAGAGAATTTATGTCATTATTAATTTTTAGGGTTTGATTATGATGTTTTTAATTTGAAAAATTAAGTAGTGTGTGAAATTCATGCGTTGGAAATTGTCATAAAAATAAAAAATTCTTATTACAAACAAATTAATTTTAGTTATATAATACCAAATTAAAACTTGAGCATCGCCACACCTGAAAAGTAAATACGTACTTAGATTTTTCTATATATTTCCGCAAAATGACGTCAAAGTTAATTAAAAAACAACTTATTGGAGTAATTGCAATAATCTAATTAATTACCTTCAGAATTTGAGTATAACGAAGTTGAGTTTGGTACATATTTTAAAAAATTCAATTTAATTTTAATCGTATAAAATTTTACAAGTTAAATTATCTTTTTTATGTAGAAAGGGTGTTTTTTTACTACAATAAATAAATAAAAACTGCCCAGAAAACTGTCGTTTAATCTAAGTTATTGTTAATGTATTTTTTTTCATATTTTTCAACAAAGACGTCAAACTCATTCTAATCTCAAAATATGTAACATTTTCAATAAATTAACCTAACACATTTCGTAGACTCTACATTTCTCCTGGCTGGCAAAATTTTGGAGAAGGTTGCTCTAAGAAAGTACACAAGTCGACTTTTAGCCATTTAGATTGGACGAATTTTGAATTCTTTCAGACTCGTCGATGTTGGTCGTGCAGCTAATAAAATGAGATCCGAGAAAGTGCGGTGTGTTTTGGATTTTGTGGATCTTTGCACTTCTGTTGGATCCCTTTTGTTAAGTCGACCCACATATTTCCTCCGTCTTGTGAAGAGCAAGTTACGTGACGACATGGTGCAAAACATGACAAAGAGACGAAGCAAAAGGTATTCTGCCCCATTTCGCAGAGTTTTGGTGACGAAGTGGATTTTATATAAATCATCTTCGCCTTGGGATGTCAAGTCTGGTTTGTAATAAAGAATGGGCTTTTGTGTAATTAAAATTATGGTGATAATTAAAGTGTAATTAACTCTCAAGAGTAGAATGTAATTTGGGATAATTATTCGCGTAGGAGAAATGAAGAAAGAAATCAATAACTTGGGTTGTTTTAGAATTTTCAAACTTATGAAATTTTGTGATATATTTAGAGGTAAAATTTTATAGAGCAGATTTGTAGATGTTTTTGGAAATAT